GCTCCCAGTGCCACCACTGCCCTCTCTAAGTGCAGCCTGGTCTGGCCCCATGCCGGGACAAGCCCGGTGCTGCCCTGGCCCCAGCCTGCCCCACGCGCAGATCTGGGGGCACACAGCCCCCGTCCCCTCCCAGGGTGTGTGCAGCGGCAGGAGCTGCCCCCCACACTCTGTGGCCCCCAAATGAGCTGTTTGTGGCTCTGTCCCACACTCCGCCTGGCTGTGCAGCACCTGCACAAGCTCCACTCCCTCCCTCACCACAGAGGCCTAAGGGAGTGGAGCTACTGGGGGTGGCAGGGCAGCTGCAGCTACTCCAGAATTCGCCGTAGTCCCCCTAACCTGCACCTCCCAGTGCCCCTGCCGCCTAGCCCAGCCCCCACTGGGAAGAGCCTGGTGCCACCCCAGCCTGCAGCCACAGCCCACCCAGTCCTGCATGCAGATCCCAGGGGTGCATGTAGTGGCGGGAGCTGCCCTCCCCTGCTGCATGCAGCTCAGTCCCATGCCCCGCCTTGGCTGTGCAGCCCCTGCCCCAGCACCACTCCCTTCCCCACCTCTAGGGCAGCACACCTCACCCCATGCAGATCCAGGAGACACACCTGCCACCCCCCTCCCAGGGTGTGTGCAGTGTTGGGAGCTGCACCCCACTTTGCCCCTTGGATCCAGCCACTCATGGCTCTGTCCCATGTCCCTCCCTGGTTGGGCAGCACCTGCCCCAGCTCCACTCCCTCCATCACTGTGGGGGCCTCAATCTCCCCGCCTCCCGCCCCCAAAAGAAAAAAAAGGTACAGGAGCTGAAACTCTGATTCAGAAGGGGTACACTTATTAAAACAGGTTGAAAATCCCTGCTTTAGGCCTTGGGAGGAGGCAGAAGAGAATGTTTCAGAATCAGCTTTGGTGGATAAGGATTGTCCAAATCCTAGCCGTGAATGGAAGTCCCTGTCAGGCTCAGAAACCTGCTGCCCAAGGTACAGACTCCCACAAGAATACAGTCCATGCCCCTAGGAGCTTGCAGTCTAAATTTGCAAATGACACCGGAAGAGGGATATGAGCAAATATATAAATTTTTAAAATACATATATAATTTTCCTGTTTTTTTTAAGGATTAGATAAAGTTAAGTACAACCTCTCTCTGAATGTCAACCAAACAAACATGACACAGTCGATATTGCACAGCTATTATGATGGATATCCTCTGAGACTCATAATGCAGACATTAAAACTCTGTTGATAAAATTCAGCTACCTGGAAGCTGGCAAGGTGTCAGCGCAAGTGCCAGAGAGCTGCTATAATAAACTGCCTGCAGCTAACACTACAAAGTCTGATGCCTCGTGTTTTTGCTGTAGATTTTGAGTGCTCTTCAAAGCTATTCCCATGTAGCATATCTTGCAGAAATCTAGTCTGGAAGTTGCAACAATCTGAATCAACTTCATAAGAAATAATCAAAACTGTCTTGCCAGATGAAAATAGGAAAAAAGGCACTTTTGCCTCCCACTGTCATGTGGTACTGCAGGTGTGGTCAGAGCCTTAGTAGCACCCTGAAATTATGCAAAAACCTCATAGAGTTATGACCAGGGATACTGGTTTTAGTGAATTAAAAAAAAAATGCCCAATTTTCAGGTTAACCCCAAATCCACATTTTTCCATGATTAAAATGAAACACTAGTAAGGTTGTGTGTGTGTGTGTAGTAAATATGAGGTCAGATTCTTATACCATCAGACTTCTAACTAAAAGTAAAGCACTCCTATGCCAAGCTATACTGTCAAGCTAATGAAATAGATTGTCAGAAAGGTTTTGTGCATTTATAACCAGCTGCTCTGATTGGTGAAAAGAGAGTAGTTAGAGCATCTACTGAGTACAGGAGGAAAATTTTACCCTGAAGTCACAGATCTTCCCAGTTTATGGTTCAAAGTCAGATTCATTCGGCATCTTGTAAATACAAATACACAGTAGTGTTAGAGTTGGGTATATCATGTGGCCATTTCTCCATCCTAGGCTTTCTCTTCAATAGTTGTCAACAGAACGTTAATTCCAGTATTGCAGTCGCGTAGCTGAGTTCAAAAGAATTGTGTTCATGACCCAACTTCTAGAAATCTGCTCTTTACAAACTTATAGTTCTAGTAAATTTCAATGCCTGTTCTAATGTTTTTTTCTTGCCTATGTTCTCCACAGCGCTTCAGTCAATTTGTGTCCTCTGGGTGTATATCCTCACATTTTAAAATTAGCCCCAAGTGAACAAGAGACAGCTTCATCGACAGCAGAAAAGCAGGCACTGCTCTAGCAGAACAATAGATTAAGATGAGGAAGCGAAGGTGAATTACTTCCACAGAAATCGTAGAGTAGAAATATGAACGTAGAAAATACCTATTCTGGAGCTGGGACTTGGGTCAGATATTGAGTTTAGCGTGCCTGTTCCTGTCAAAGCAGCTATGACTTGAAGTGACCTCATCTGTTTCTTTGGTATTTTGTGGTCTCCATTACTGCAATATTGTGAATGCCCCACAAGTATGAATGGATTTATCTTTACAACACCCCTAAAAAGAATGAAAGTGCATTAGGTGCCATTTGTAGGAACCTACTCAAATTGTGTTTTTGATTTTGCAGAAACTGCAAAATCGGGCAACCTCTGCAAAATTTGTAGGGGAAAAAATTGCTAAAAATAAAATGCTAGTTCCCCAGTAGGAGCCAGTAGTCCCCTCGGCTGCACAGCCCAGCATGAAAGGGACTGCTGGCATGAAGGCAAGTAGGCAAGATGGCTGCCACCACTGCTCCCTGCCACTGATTGGCTGAGAGGGCTGTCTGCCATGCAGCTCTGCCCCTCTCCAATCAGCAATGAAGGGCGAGGCTGCATGCTGGACAGCCCTCTCCACTAATCAGCAGCAGGGGGCATGGCCACTAGGGTCTCTTGGTCATTCAGAGGTGTGGGGAGGCCTTGCCAAGATAAATCCATGAAAATGGCAACTGGCCCTGTGACCTGCCCGTGAAGTCAGCTGGCTGCCACCTCGAGTTGACAGCTGAAGAAATGAGATGCAGGAGGTTATATGACCTCTGCAAGGTCACATAGGAATTTGGCAGTGAAACAGGGAATTGAATCTAGGTCAACCAGTTTCTTAGTGGTATTCTCATCTCTTGACCAGTATGTAGGGCTTCTTGCAATATGATGCTATCTCCTAATATCCTGCATAGTCATTTGAATGCATTTGTACTCATACTCATTGTAAAATAGACCAAATCTTAATTTTATGTAGTCATTTGATTGAGAGATGTATTTATTTTGTAATTTTTCAATTGGAATTAAAATTTCTACTGTGAAGAACATTCTAAAACTGATCAACCAAAGCCCGGCAATGCAAAAACTAGAAAAATAAATGGAGAAAAAATTATGTTGGAAAAGAGGCAACAAGTACATTTTTCATAAATAATTTCCTTAACATTTTTTGTAAACATAAAAAATGTTTTGTAAAAATGTTTCTGGTTTTAGAAATCTGGTTTTTCATGGCATGTTTTCATCAACTCAATAGAAAGTTCACCTTCCTGCCTGTGGAACTTTTGGAGAGAAGACTATGTTGAAGGAACAGCTAACAACTGCACATGATTTTATTAACATTTTCTAAAGAGGACCCAAGATGGGCAGCATTGGTCCTCCTTGTGGTATATGTTGCTTCCACAATGTTTCCTTGCTTCTGAACTCATTGTGCAGAAATCTTAGCTTTCTTTAAACTCAGAATCTGAGCTTCTAGGTATCTTGCTTGAGGTTAAAATCTTGCAAATATGAATCTTAAAATCTTGGAAACCATAATAGTCCAATATATATCATTTTAGAATATAATTGGTATTTGGGGTCTACCTAATGATTTTTGAATACTTGGAACTGGCATTAGTGGGAACATTATATATTTCCATCTTTTTTTTCTCATATATTTATGTTGTATATTCTCAAGACACAGGACAAAACATGTTTTCAACCTAACCATTCAACACCTCCCATTTCAAGAGAGATGATGTTTTAATCCGTAAAATCCTCCATATTGAATTCCTCAGAGCCTTGTCCATTTGTATGTAGGCAGATGGACTTCATACATATACACGCAACAGAATCATAGCTACCCACATCACAAAAAACCCTCCACGTTGTACTAATTCCAGATATTTCTTGTTCCTACAGTGTGCCAGGAAGCAGTTTGGGAGGTCTTCAAAACATTTTGGGATAGACTTCCAGAGCATGAAGAGTATCAGAACTGGATGAGTCTGTGTGAGGAAGGAAGAATGAGCATATTTGAAATGGGCACCAACTTCAGTCAGTCTGAAGAGCACCGGAGCCTGATTGTGAAGGTAAGTGTAGACCATCAGATAATGATTAGCAAAGCTTTATCTACTCCCTTGTGCAGTCCAAAATGAGAATGAAGGAGGACAGTCATATATTTAAAAATGTGTGTGTGTTTTGGGTTTTCCATTGTCTAGCTCATTACTTTGGTGAGGTTATAAAAACACAAGCAATGTGATAACTAAAAAGAGAGCCAAACATTTTAATGGGGAGAACATTGTTTATAATTGCTATAGAAATGCCATTAACTTTTTATCAGAAGAGGCAATTTGATATGAACTTATTGGTATGATCTGGCTAGTTGAATAAGAATTGTTCAGCTATGTATAATAGGTTTTCTACCACTAAGGGAGATTGTTTCAGCTCAAATGTAGGAGCCTAAAACCTTGAGGCAAAAGTCTGAGTTTTATTCATGTTGCTAAAACGGTACACTGCACAATGCCAATCTTGTCATTTCTGTGTCAGCCTGGGTTTGTGATACAGGTTATAGGAACCTGATTTGAAAAGGAGTGTGTTTGAAAAGAATGAGTATCCTGTTGAGAACATCTTTTTGGTTTGATCTACATGGGGAATCATGTAGGTTTAACTAAAGGTATGTTGAGAAAGCAATTTAGTTGAATTGGTGCCCCCCCCCCCCCCCCCCAGGAAATCATATAATTGATAAAGTCCCCCCCCCCCCCCCCCCAAACACACACTTTTTTCAGTTTAAGGGCTTTACATGAGGCTAAAACAATAGCTGTAAGCTAAACAAAAATAAATTACCTTTAAACCTAAAAAAGACTCTTTATGCAGGGGGTTGCACCTATTTAACTAAGCCATTGCAGGGTTGCATGTGGGCAATGATGAATTGTGGATTCCTTGATCTTTTTTGCTACCAGATGAATATATGGCTGTGTTTGCGTTAACAAGGAGTCCTCGCAGAACAAGACAATGGGATCCTCAAAATAGTCACTTGTACGCATTTTTTAAAATTTGTCCCTCTTTTTTTGGCCAGAAAGTTATACCAGCTCAAGGGACTGACTTTGCCAAGGGTGTAAGGCCAAACACAACTACATAAAGTGGTCACTCTTTCTGTGCTGTGTGTTGGCGTTTGTATATGGATGCGAGCCAAGTCCTAGTTTATTCTTATGGTGGTATCTAGACAATTGCTTATGTTGTAGTTATCTTTGGAGGGGAGTGCAAATATATGGAAAATGGATGAAGTTCTAAAGAAGATTTTAAGGGCATCCGTTTCTTGTGTTTAAGTTATTAATGTCCTGCTGATATACCTAAAGGACTGGAGAGGGAGGGATAGTGGGGTGGTATTGGAAATCATTGTTTTCTAAGCTTGTTTTTAAAGGTGGGCACATTCAGATGCATCTTAATGCCCACTGTTGCTTTACCATTTTAGATGTAGATTTTAGTCTTACAGATGATACACCTGGGAATCATAATATATCCCAGTGATGAATTAAAGTGGAGTTATTTGGTGATCTTTTTCTTGTACAAGGATGAGGTCCCTTCAGTATGTGGAATGTTTTTATACTCATTCAGTTTTTGCTCTCACTTCTCATGCGCCAAATAAAGATGCCAGTCATGAGGAGGATTTTATTATAAGAGCACCTGTCAGGTAGGGATTTCATTTTCATGTAGTATAACAAATTGCTATTAGGTGGCAATGACTTTAATATACTCTCACAGCCCACATTCAGTATGAACTTGAACTTATGGACTTTATCCCATTATGAGTCACCTAAGTCAGCTGTTCTCATTAGCTACCATATTTCTTCATATATAAGATGCCTTTGAATTTAAGATGCATCCAAATAATTTTACTCTCAATTTAAGAAAAAAGCTTCTACCCTCATGGTGCATCTAAGAACTTTTTACTTTATTTTTATTCAGTTTTAGGAAGCAGACCATTTTTAGAAGGAATATTTTGTGTTAAAAAGTTTGTTTTATTCAAACAGCTTGCATACTAAATCCTTGGTTTACTTGTGGAAGCCTGCCCCCTCCCCCCCTCCCCATTTTAGCTAACTATGCTTATTACTTTTTGAACCTCATAGCCTCTCTCTTTAGTGTTTTTTGCTCATGAGACTTGATCATGTAAGGAGCCAAATGCCCTTACATCCCATTTTGAGGCTGCCCAGCATCTGACAGGAAAGCCCAGCAGCTTCTGGATAGTGTCTGTAAATAGTCCACATCCTCAGTCACTTCACTGAAAAAATCTCTTCCAAGATGTACATAGTAAACGGCAAAACAGCATACCCTGTTTGCTCATTCAATCTATAACCTCCTTGTCTTCCCAACTACTCAGCCGCTACGTTCCTAATTAAATAACACTAGCTTCTGACTTTCCATCTGTTCCTTAGTTGCTTGCCAATCATTTATGGTTAATGTCAACAGATGGATTTTACACCTGCACCTGATTTAAGTGTCTCAGGCTATCCATTAGCATGTTGTGTTCTCAATCGGTGTTGTCTATTGCTGGGATAGAGTTGGTCTCTGTCGCACTGCATGAACAGTACAGCTTCTGGTGTTTCTTTGCAATTGGCAGGACTAACTCAGATTGCCCCTTCGTAGACTGTTATGCTGTGAGGATTTATGATTCAGTTTTCAGTGGTCCTGAGTGCCAGCCATTTCCCTTAAACTTTGATGGGAATTGTCAGTCCCTAGCATTTCTGCAAATCAAGCCAATAGTTTTCTGAGGCTTGCTGCCAACAAACTACATTTCAGCAAAATAAGTGTTTGTAATGACCTTTGCATCAGCATTTCCCAGGTGCTAAGTTACTGTTTTGAGCAGTGCAGCTAAATGACTTGCCTTAATATCTTTCCTTCATGATTTTATTCCTTACTCTTCCCTCTAGTCCTTTATAATCATTGTAACAATTACACCTACAGATATTGCAATGCCTTTTCTGGCACTGGTTGCTTTTTATAAGGAACTGTGCAATTTCTTTGTGTGTTAAACTTCCTCCACTAAACTCCCCAGTGTAAGTTTGTTTTTTTTCAATGAAAATATTACCTTGCTAGGACAGTCTCCATTTACTAGAATCAGCTTTGTGCCTAAGGACTGGGATAAAGGCCTCAGTGACTAGGTTTTCCAGACTCCTGCAATCAAGGCACTTAGCACACGGCATACTTTGTGTATTGTGGGTGTCTGTGTACATACTGATAGAAATGGCCTGGTTTCAAATATGTCTGAGATCTTGTATACTCTGTCACTACAGGATGGATCTTTACAGTACAGGGATGGGAGAATGGGCCAGTGGGACAGAGTAGGCAAATGGGGATCTCTTGAGGTCTGGATGAGTTCTCCTGAGATCTATAGCTCCCATTAACTTCAACAGGACTAGGCTCTTGATAGTTTTGTAGTGGTGTTGTAGCCATGATTGTCCAGGGAATAGTGAGAATCATGATTTGTTTGGTAAAGCTTTTATTGGACCAACTGTATAGTTGATAAAGATGTTAGACCAGGTTTCAGGCACAAAATGCCTTTCCTTAGGTCCGGGGGAAAAAGTAGATACAGCCAAAGCTAAATACCTGGTAGAGCAAATTGCTTTTCTTTAACTCCATTATGAAAATGAAAAGTGACCAGTTGGCTTGTGGATCAAAGATGTTAACAGAAGTAGTTAGAGAGAGGTAGTTAGCCCTGAAGGCAGGTAGCGTTATACCTTATAAACTAACTGAATCCTGATTCATATGGTATTTGCATCTCCTGATTCAATTAGTCTATAAGGTGCAGATCAAAAGCAGTTGCTATAGATAAAGCTAATTATGCAGAAAAACAAGCCCATTCAAAAAGAGAAGAGGCTGTTATTACCTGTGGAATACAGGGGTTAGCAGCAGAGGCAAGTAAATTGTAATGAGCCCCAGACCTGAACCACAGTACTTTATGCCCAAAAGCTTGTCTAACATATCTCCAAACTATATGTTTATTCCAATAAAAGGTATCACCAAAAAAAAATCTTGCATCTTGCGTTTCCTGGACCATCACAGCTACAACAACACTCCAACCCTACATAAAGTAATTGTCTGTGTAAAGTCTATGGGCAATACCATATTCCCACATTTGGTAGTATCCATGTTTGTGTGTTTGGATACCACATTGACTCTGCCTGTAGTAGGGGCAAGCCTCAGCAAGCAATGCATAATCTCTTCATTTACACTTGCTTTGGATAGCTTTGATATCCTGCTATACCCCACCAACTGGTTTGATAAATCAAAGCTTGCATTTATGTGATCATTCAATCATGTGTATAAATATGTCCACATCCAAAGCCCACAGAAGTCAGTGGGGGTCTGTCTGCTAAGGATACTGGGCTTTTTATCAATACCTCACTTACCACGTTCTCCAACAGTGTGAATCTGAATAGCTCTATTGAAGTCAACAGAACAGATGTAGATATGGCCCTATTTTCAATTGATCTTCCCCATCTCATCCCACATTTTCTCCTCATTTGTAGTGTGCTACATAGCTAAATAAGTGCCTTGTTCAGTTGTGATGGACAGAGTAGTATGTTGTTTTCTCTGGATCTCTATGTGCCTCTTATTACAGAGTTCACAACATGTGAAGGTTTTCATTCCCTCTTCTCTTCTCTCTACCTGTTCATGGGGTTAAAGAATTATAACAATTAAAAATGGAAAAGTTTTTATAGAGGCCATTCTCTGCTAATGCAGGAGTATTTTTCCTCTACCATGTATTTTTTAGTGTTTTACCCCATCTATATTTTATTCCAAATACATTTCCTGAATCTGCCTTCTTGGTAACCTGTGATACTTATAGATTCTATTGGGCTATATACTAGCCTACAACTTTCCCTTTTTGTATTCCCACAGGCTCCCATGTATGTCTCAGTAGGATAAATTAGAGCAATCAACTGGTCAAAGTTTGGCACCATACCATGGCCTGAATTGCTACTGAATTAATATTCTGACCAAGTCATTTTTGCAAAGCAGGGAAAAATACTACCCAGGTCATCAAAATTTACCATGTTAGGGTTATATTTTTACTACAAGACTGTAGCAC